CCGTCTCCCCCAAAGCTTCTCGTCTAGACCTTCAAGATGTAAGTACACCACGTCTGCCACGATGCTACGCAAATGAGCTTGACCATGCTTCATGCTTGTGCAGGTGGAAGGCAACCGATCTTACTCAGGAGGTGTTCCAACCCCCGCCCCTTCCCCTCGGACCACTTTTAAACTATTTGCACACTGGCAAGACACCCAGCTGCTTGGCCAAGTCACTCATAAGGCATTGAGCAACATCTGCTGGCCAAGTGTAAGACTTCATCTTAAAGACTGTACGTGCAAGCTCAAGTGGTGTCTATGCACTAATATACCAAAGTAATCCATGTTGCTGTAAAAGAAATCCGAAGCTATTCGTAGCCAAGGCTCAGTGTAATATATTAGTACACAGAATTCGTTCACATACAAACAAAAAGTAACCAAGCCATGCACAAACCTGACAGTGGAATCTCCTTTGTATGTTACAAACGGATTTAGTGGAAAGAAATGCTTGTCATATTTCTTAAAAGTGAGTAAAAATTGCAATTTGGTACGGATATGCCTTAATGAAAAGAGCAAAGCATTTGCTGTTGTGGGCCACAAAAAATATGGCAGGGTTGAAGGATTACCCAAGTGTGTGTGTGTGTGTGTGTGTGTGTGTGTGTGTGTGTGTGTGTGTGTTTTATTTTTTTCTTTTTTTTTTGTTTCCCTTTTGTTTTTGTTCATATCACCAGATTAGGGGACCAGCAACAAATGTCGAAATGGAAAAACAAGACAGGAAATAGAACTGTTTCTTTGTTCATATTTGAAAAACAAAAACGGTGTTGTAATCCCTGCAAAAATAAAATTAAATGACTTACAGAGGAACGCCCCAATGTGGTCAAATTTAAAACAATAAAAATGGGCATAATTACCATGTGGTTGAGCATGGTGACAGGTAAGCTGTTGTCAAAAACTAGTTTTTATCTTTGACCTGAGGCTGTATTTTGCGTGAATTTTTTTCTATGGGAGAGCAAGTAAAATGTGTTTTGGAATATCCCTAGCCTAATGTGGAGCAAATATGCCTCCGTTGTTCTTGACCGTTTTTGGAAAATGAGAAAATATCCCAACAAACTACACAAACGAGTCCAGCTGCAAAGAGTTTTTAGTCAGCATGTTTGTATATTTTATTGATACTGTGACAGTAAGTTAAAAATGACTTTATGCGATTAAGCTAACAATATGGCTGTAAATTCTATGACACAATAATACAATAATGACATACATGCAATTTCAAATAATTTTACCAAGAAAATATCATGTGGTTATTACTTTTACTGTTACATATCTGTCTGTCCCGGCATCATCAAGATTTTACGTTGACTTTACGGTGAACTTCTTTTCACACTTGTGTGACAGTTAAGCCTGAAACGAGGTCCCACGATAGGAGTTGCATCCATGTCGTTCACGCCTCAAAGTACACAAGAGAATCGGAACCCATTAACACTAGTTATAATCATGATTCACAACTATTTAAAAAAGAGGTGGTGTGAAAGGGGCTTTGCTGCTGTGAGGCGCTAACCAAATGCGCCATTAAACTTAGTAGACAATGCAAGAAGAAGCCATATTGACAAATTAAGCCTGTCAAGTGTCTGCTGCAACCATCAAAACCATGCACGAACATTGCTACGCTCTTAGCATTGTATTGAGGAAATTAAAAGAAAAGCATGCTCACGTTTGTTTACAATGATTATGGATGTCAGTTTATTTTAATATTGGACCCTCTTGAAAATCTAAATAAAATTTGGTTGTACTCTGCTCTTTCTGTCTGTCCCTTTTATCATGTTGTTAATCTGTACCTTTTTTAAATTGACGGGTGGAGGGAGGTGTAACAACTAGAGAACCAGGAAGTACCCTTTTATCATGTTGTTAATCTGTACCTTTTTTAACTTCGGGTGGCGGGAGGTGTAACAACTAGAGAACCAGGAAGTCATTTTACTGTATTTTAGTTATATTAGTGTTTGTTTTATCATGTTACAATTCTTAAAATTCTTCTTGTGTGCTCTTGTGATTCTACTTCTTGTTTTTTGTTTTTTTTTTTTTGGGTGGGGTCGCATTCCCTTGACTGTCTCTGTAAAATTGTGACGACTAGAACAAGTGGAACCTCATGTAACATGATGAATTACATACACAAATTATGATTACCTAGGTAATGTTAATGTAATGTAAAAAATCAGGAATAGAATGTACAATAGCTCCATTTTTAGTATCACTGGAAAAATGGTCTTTTGTTTTGAATAGCTATGTAGGAATGTTCACAAATATATTGTTCTCTTGAAACCTGTTTGTGTGTAGAATTTCGATCCATTTTTATACCAAAAACAAGCTACAAGTCCCGGTGGTTGCTGCTGAGGAGTTTTGGGTAAGATGACCCGATGGAGCGGCCGTGCCTGTGAACCACCAACTCCAAAACATACTCATCCACCTTCACCTCCAGCGTGCTGGTCTTGTCTCCAGACTGTAGGAAGACGATGGTGAACATCGCCACCTCCAATTCGGGACTAACCCCAATGAAGGAGCCGCCCACTGGCTTGACCAGGCCCTTCCAGCTAAACTGCAGGTTGAGCACGTGGTCGTCCTCATCGGGCTGTGGATAAATGGACTTCCTGTTAGTTAGACGGTAGCGTCCGGTTGCTACGATGAATGTGTGGATTTGCCTTACGGTGTCTTTATTGTCCCGTGCTTTGTAGCCTTTGTAATCGATGTGGCCGTGCTTCTCCTGTAGGTAGAACTGTACCCAGTTGTGAAGGCCTGTAATCTCCTGCCCCTGCTTGGTCTCGCCCACGAACACATGCTCGAAGCCGCACGAGTCCGCCCTGGACGCAACCAGCAGCAAATGTTGACAAGATAACAGATGAGGAGGTTTCATTGGAAGTTCCTTTTGGTTCCCTTAATTGAACTTCATCTGACCAAGATCTTGTGAACAAAGGAGTGTAAATTTGGATCACTTGGGAATGGCGTCGTGCACTCGAGTTTTTTGTTTTGTTTTTTTAAAAAGTTTTAATTTGGTAGGTTTCTATTTCCTGTCACTAAGGCTTTCAATTGGACCCTTGATTGTCTGGCTAATTTATTATAAACAAAGGACTTCTGTTTTTACTTCCTGTGGGACTCGTATGGAGATGAATCTGTTTGCGGTGCTTTACAGAGTGATTTAGACAGCCACATCTGTCTAACCGCTGAATGCTTATTACTTACACGCAAATTTTTCTCATTATACTTGTAGGACGGTTAAGAATATTAAAATGTGAGTTAAAAAAACGTTGCAGTCTCACCCTCCTCTCCTGTCACGGTGGTACAGGCGGAACCAGATGTTGTAGAGTTGCTTCTTGAAACTCATCACATCCGGCGACGACTGTCTCTTCTTGACCAGGTACTGGTGAGCGCACTGTGAGTGCGAAACAACAACATATGTTAACATCTTTCTCAGCATGCTTGTTGTCACCCTCAACAGTCCAATTTTGCACCTTCATGACGTCTGTGTCCAGGATGGCGTCCAGGAACTTGCGGTTCTCCTGAAGCTCCTCATGGGTCACAGACTCTGACACGCCTGTCGACATCTCGTAGTTGTCCAGCAAGTTGATGAAGTCTGAAGAAGAGGAAAATCGATGTTAACATATGCTATGCTTGCCAAAACAATTGTTAACACTTCCTGTTCACTTATTTACTTTATTTTGAGTTCCTACTTAATGTTTTGGTTCCCTTGATAGGGTTCTCATTCACAGCTGGTATTGACCATTTTTTTTCATCAACAAAGGACTTTGATTTGGATCTATTGTGATGTGGTTTCTGTATTTGAGTCTGTCTGTGCCGTTGCTGGTTTTATTTTGGTAGGGTTGGACTTCCTGCTGATAGGACTGTCTTTTGAAATCAGCATTGACCATCATTTTTTTTGTTTGACCATCTGCAACTGATGTGATTTGTTTATATAGTGCGCATTAGTCAAAAGATTCAATAACAGTTTTCGATCTGCGGGTGCAAAACAAAATGATTCAAGGACGGTTCGATTTGAAAGTGGAACCATTCGATTCGGTTCAGTTCAGTGGCATTATGATTCAATTCAAAATGGGTCAGCTCAGTTTGAAAGGGTATGATGCAAAAACTTTTTTATGGTCATTTTATATACCTTTTAATGAACTTGTCATTTGTGTAAAATGTGTCATTCCTTTTTAATATATAACTCTCCAATAAGAGGCTTGATAGACAAATAAAAGATTTGATATGTATCTCGATATATTTCAAAGTGGAACGATTCAGAGTCAATGCACTCACATCTTGTCAATCAAATAATGGCGTTCCGATTCAAATTGTTTTTTTTTTTTGTTGTTACACCCCAAATATATATTTCTATATAAAATTTATTTTCGCCATACATGCATATGTCTTGATGCTCCTCAGTTTGTCCTCATCGACGTATATGAAGAGTGGCGCATGGGCACGATCCTTGGCATAGTTGCTGCCCTGAGCCACGTAGCCGGCTCGTCCCTGCGAAGTGCGATGATAACCAGAGTATAAGATATGGAACTTACTGCCACATGTAAGAAAAGGGCCATAGCTTCAATTAGAAAGATTTATTCATGTCTTTAGATTGACAGTTGATGAGTGCAGTGTGCATTCACCTGAGGGGCAATGATGTAATCAGTCCCCGGCTTGAGGCGGTTGACGTCCAGACGCCACAGTTCATTTAACACCTCAGACAACTCCTGATTGGCCACTTGGCTGAAAAATTACAAAAAGTTAAAGTGATATGAAAAATTGCCAGACTGTGAAAATGCTGACAATTAACATGACGTTTTGTGGTACTTTATGCACTCTATTCACGTGAAATGGCAAGTTTCTCTGCAAACAATATTTGTAAAAAACTTGATTCACGTTAATGTTTTATTTTCCATGAAAATATATTACTTTCCTTGTAATATAAGGATTTTACTCCAGTGAAATTATTTTTCATGGAATGTAAGACTTTATTTTAAGTGGCATTAATTTTGTTCTTTCAAAAAAAATGTTTTTTTTCAGGAGCATTACTTCTTTTTCATAATGTAAAACTTTATTCACAAGAAATGTCTTATCTGGAGAAAAATAATTATTAACAGTATAACAACTTTTAATCACATGAAATGACAAGTTACAATGTAAATTACACGTGATTTAAAAAAAAATATGACCCCCCCCAATACATTCACCTTTTTTATGTATGTACTTTTGAAATACAGTTTTCCCCGAGGCTGAATGCAAAGTGTTCATTTTCTGGTTCCTACTTGAAGGATTACTCAACCGTTTTTACATAACCGCCCACTTCATCATTTTGAGAGGATGGGTTGTGTGACTGTCTTTTTTTTTTTTTTTTGTGTAACTAATAATCATCTGCAGACCTTCACACAAACACACGAACACTACGCACATCGTACAAAACAGTTGTGTGTGGTTTTTTTTCTCAAGCGGAACTGTAAAAAACATCAAAACGAAACTTTTTTTGTCCACTGCAAGAAGCACACCAGTGAGAGTGCATCTCTTTACAGCCCACAGGCTTGTTTGCATTAAATACCTGCCATTTGGAGTGTCAATAACGTTTCCAAGTCTTGACGTACAACTCACAATTACAACATAAATGACAGAAATAGACTTTAAAAAATGGATTGGGCAAATTTTACTTACCGTCTTGCCATTGTTGCGTTCAGATTGGGCAGAATTTACTCAAATCGTTGCTCTGGAGCAGAAAAAAAGCACCGTTTTTTTACGCAGTTAGTTATTCTGTCAATCATTACGTTTTGAAAGCCAGCCAATGAGGAAATGGACAAATTTAGCGATTACCGCCCACCGCGACACGGGCGGATCCCCACCTCGTGATATCCTTATTTATGCGATAAAGACAATGACGTTTGCACATAAAGGTTTATTGTTTTAATATATATATATATATGTATATTTTTTTATTTATCTGTCATTTTGTAACCGCGCATATTTTGTTCACTTTCGTCAATTTCAATTGTCGCGTGGGAGCCATCCTTTCCTCTGGGTGGCGCCAGTGCGACATTAGGCAGACAACGACAACGACGAAGAGGAACGCAACCGCGCATGTGCAGTACGCGTTCTTTGCGTTGTTTTGGTTTCTCACGTGTGTTAACTTGCACGGGGCAATAATGTGTTTTAAGTCGGTCGCCAAATTGTTCTACTGCGCTAATTTTGCTCGCGTCTTGTGTTTTTACTAGTCGTGATACATTTACCGTTGGTCTGACAAGGTGGCAGAGCTTGAGACGAAAACAAAGACGCAGGAAGATCCGAGCTAGTTGGCCGTCATGGCCGCCTTCGTGGAGCTAGTCGCTGGCTGCTACGAGCAAATTGTGTTTGGTTACCGTGTTCGAACTGACCAGACCGTGAGTGGATTTTCACATTACCTGTATATCTCTACGAAACAATTTCAGCTTGGCCGTGGGCATCATTAGTGACTCTAATTAAAGCTACTTGATAACGGGGATTTGAAACCTCAAAGTTTCGTATTCTGACGCCAATATTTTACAGTATGGGGTTGGTGAAAATTAGCTATACACGTTAAAATGCGGTTTTAAGGCCAGCGTTAGGATGTCCTGCAAGGTTTAGAGTTTCAAGATAGATGATAAAAATGAAAAGGATAGTGGGTGACTTTTTTCACCTGAAGGGAGGGAAATTAGATCGGTTTTATTTTAAGGGTTCGGTTACCGTGTGTGTGTGTTTAAGAGGTGACTAATGGGTAATACTGCATTACAAAAAAAGAACAAGACTAATTTCACATGAAAACTTTGCAGTGTTACGAAAAAGTAAAAACAACCATGCGGTTAAAAGTGCAGCATTCCCCTCACTTTGTAGACATCACGTTTTGTACATTTTTTGGCTGTGGTGCTTTAGGAGTGGACAGCCAAGGCGGACTTCACACATCACGCACACACAGCATCAGTGTCGGCGGTGGCGGCCAGCAACAGGTTTGTGGTGACGGGCAGCAGAGACGAAACCATGCTCCTGTATGACATGAAGAAGAAGGTGGAACACGGCGCTCTGCTACATCACGACGGTGAGTGGCGCTTTTGGGGTCTGTGGTTGCCGTGACGATGCTTCCTCCTGACAACCAATACTCCTCAGGCACCATCACCTGCCTGGAGTTTTACGGTGCAACGCATCTGCTGAGCGGAGGAGAAGATGGACTCTTGTGTGTATGGAGCACCAAGAAGTGGGAGTGTCTCAAGTCCATCAAAGCTCACAGGTCCGCCCTGGGTCATGCTATGAGGAGGAGAGGGCAAATACACGCTGAGAAAAAAAATTGCAATGAGGCACTTCATATGAACAAAGAAAAAAATTGTATCCCTTGTAACTCGCAATTTTATTTCTAATCCGAAAGGAAATTCTGGAAAAAAATCAGGAAAACTCCCTTAATATGATGACTTCCTTTGCTTTGGCTAAAGTTTATTCTCCTGTTTTCTTTCTTCAGAGGTCATGTGACGTCGCTGTCTGTGCATCCGTCTGGTAAACTTGCACTGACGGTGGGCACCGATAAAACACTGCGGTGAGACACACACACACACATATACGCGCGCGCAATAAATGCCAGCGCAATAAATGCCGCGCAATAAATGCCACAGCCGCTGATGTAATGTTTGATTTTGTCTTTCAGTACATGGAATCTAATTAATGGAAGATCAGCCTTCATCAAAAACATCAAACAAAGTCAGTTTTTCACCATAAAATGTGACGCTGGTTTTCCTGAGGCACATTTGAGGTCAAAGTGTGTGTGTGTGTGTGTGTGTGTGTGTGTGTGTGTGTGTGTGTGTGTGTGTGTGTGTTTTTGCTTGTGTATAGATGCCCACATTGTGCGGTGGTCTCCGGACGGCGATAAATATGCAGTGGTCATCCATGACCAGCTAGACCTGTACGATCTGCAAACAGCCTCGCTGACCAGCACGCTCAAGAACCCCAAAAGGATCTCAGCCATCAACTTCTTAAACGTCCGTGTTTTTTTTCCTCCCCATGGATGCCTCACGACACTTGTTTTTCTTCATTTTTTTTAAATCTTATTTGCTTGTTTTTTTCCAGAACTCCATCCTGGCTGTTGTAGGTGATGATGAAATAGTGCGACTGTGTGATGTTGCCAAAGAGAAATGGGTGTGCGAGTTCAAGGCCCATGAAACCAGGTACAGAATTCAACATTTATTTTAAAAGAGACATGATGCATCTTTCACAATTTAGAAAAAATTGTGCACTGTGCACTTTTGTCAAAAATAACCCCATGGGTAAAAAAAAAATTAAAGCCATTCGCAAGTTTGATAAAGTCATGACCAGGGCGAGGAACATTGGCATTGAAACTATGCAAGCAGCATCTTCTTGCGGAAATAGAGCCTAGACCTTGGTTGGGCAACTCTGGTCCTCGAGGGCCACTATCGTGCAAGTTTTAGATGTTTCCCTTCTGCAACACAGAATACTAATAGTGATTGAATTGAATCGTTTTAGCCCGAAACAACAGCGTAAGTGCTGAGGTGTGTCGCTCTCCTTTCGCAGGGTGAAAGCAGTTGAGAGTTTCAAGATGACCGACCACTGCGTGTTGGTCACGGCCTCCAACGACGGCTTCATCAAAATGTGGAAGCTCCGTCTGAATGAAGTCGGTCGGCCTCCAAACTGCATCGTCAAAACGCACTCTTGTTTGTTAACAAAAGGTGTCACCCGACAGGAGCTGGAATGTCCCACCCTCCTGGGGGAGGTCAACACCACGGCCAGGCTGACCTGTCTTGCTGTGTGGAAACCGTCCGCGCCACAGCACACCACAGAAAAAGACGCCAAAGGAGCCGAGGCCACAACGTCACAAGATGGAGCCGGTAAAATATGTATACTTGTTTGATTCAATTGTGGTTTTACATACCCTCAAACTAAACTTGCATTCTTGTGAGACGTGGATATATTTAATTCTTGTTAAATTTGGACTTTTTGAGAAATTACTTTTTAGTCAAATTGAAACTTTAACTAGTCTTGTAAAAAAATTTGAAAACAGTTTTACTATTTTTTTCCTCAACACTGTAATTATCACAATTTTAGGACTTGATTGTTGTAAAATTACAATTTTCTGAAAAAAACTCTTCTCTTCATATGACTATTATAAAAAAAAAAAAAAACTACATTAATGTAAATGTTTTGATTTTTCTTTACCTGTCCGTGTGCCTGCAGAGGAGGCTGGGGCACTTTTGAAGACAAAGCGAGTGCGAATCTTCACACATGAAGAAGTCATCCTGGAAGATGACAGCAAGCCGAAGAAAAAGAGGAGGAAGAAGAGAAAGGTCGGTGGGCAACAGGAGGAAGCCAAATAAATGTATTTTTAAAAAAGATCCACCCATGTGTGACTCCTTTGGATGTACACACACACTCCACAAACACTTATTTAACAAAAAAATTAGAATAGACACATTACACTTGTACCAGCAGCTGTTTGAAATTATTTTTTTCTTAATTTTAGACTGAATCCAAAGGTGGTTTTAGAAAATTGCCCTGTTCAGTTATTTCATGTTTTACAGTGCTGAATGTTGGACCACTTTATTGTTGGAATATTTCAGCACTCCTTGGAAAATTGAATTAAAAAACATTTTTTGAAAGCATTTTTGAAAACTGTTACCAATATTGCCCCAATTTTCCAACGTGTGTGCGTGTAATTCTGTCATTGCTACTGTTTTAACTAGTATGACCATCCATCCATTTTCTGAACCGCTTTATCCTCACAAGGGTCACAGGGCGTGCTAGAGCCTATCCCAGCTGTCTTCGGGCAGTAGGCAAGGGCCACTCTGAATTGGTTGCCAGCCAATCGCAGGGCACACGAAGACAATCGTTCACACACACGATGACATCTACGGACAATTTGGAGTCATCACTTAAATGACCCTGCATATTTGTGGTATGTGGGAGGAATCCCGAGTACGTGGAGAAAACCCATGTAGACATGGGGAGATCATGCAAACGCCACACTGAAAACCCTTGTACAAACCAGTCACTGACCGTGTCGCCCCAATAGTAGGACTTTATTCTTTTTCTTTAATATTCATTTGTGACTATATTTACTAAAGCTTTAATGATGGCCATATTACATCATAGAACAAGTGCTATCCAGTGTGCTAAAAAAATTGTGGCTAATGGGGGAAGATCTTAACAGTCAAAAGAACTTTGAGAAAGTTGTAATTTTGCAATATTTTATTGGAGTAAACCTGTAATATTTATTACAAGGCATACTTTCTAGAAAAAGCTGTGATTTTACTAAAATAAGTCAAAAGAATACAAGAACAGTAGTATAATGTCAGGAGAAAGCCACACTTAGGAGGGAAATAAAATTAAGCACTGAAAAGTTGTACCTTATGGGAATAAAGAGGAAACATTTTTGTGAATGGAACGTGCAAAAAAAATCTATTTTATGTGGGAAGAAAATCACAATATGGAGGATAAAATCGTCTCTTGCCAATGTATGAACATTAAAAACTTTTTTTGTGTCATAGTTCTGGCAACACGACTTCCAATACCGTAATGCCACCAACAAACGCGCACTACAAAATGCATTTTGCGTCCTTGACGTCCACTTTACGGTAAACGCTGGTTTGGCCCCGCAGTGTGCGAGTCCACTGACAAGATCAGGTGATCCGAGACGGAGCTACGAGCGAGCCCACCGGAGGAGGGGACACGCACACACATTAACCAGGGGGGCCTCGCAGGCACAATGTCATGTAGCGAATGTCGGCGCCCACCCGGTGCTCCTCATTTCCGCCTCTACTCCGGAGCGACAGCTTAACGACGGACGGACGTACCGACTGACTTAACGGCCGTGTATGCGCGCGCGTGTCTGTGCGTGTGTGTGACGATGGCTCGCTAGGGCCGCTGGCGCAGATTCTTCCTTTATGAGCGATCCCCTTCGGCACATAGCTCGTTCAGCATGGGGCTGTGCTACAGTTTGCGGCCGCGGCTCTTCGGCGACCTGAGCGGCTCCATCTCCAACGCCGCCTCGGACTCGGAGCCGCATCCTGACGCGGCGGCCGCCTCATCCGCCGCCGCCGTTTCCGCGCCGACCCGCGCCCAGGGTGCTCGCCCCTCGGAGGACGGTGGCGGTGGATGCGAACCCGGCCGGGTTCACGGCTCGGCTAGGGACGGCGTGCTCATTCAAAACGGAGGAGGTGGCGGCAAAGGGACGTCGTCGTCCGCGCCGGCTGCGGCTACGGCGGTGACCAAGGAACGGGGAGGACGTCGCCTGCAGCTGCCGCTCAAAAGCAACAATAGCGGCAACAAGCAGAAAAACTGGGACAAGCTCCTCATGGAGGAGAAGGAGGCCGAAAAGGAGGCGAGGAAAGTCAGTAAGAGCATCGACCGGGCCCTCAAGGAACTCAAGCGGGAATACAAGCAGACGCACCGGCTACTGCTTCTCGGTAAGACCCCCGGCCCTCCTCTTCCTCCTCCTCCTCCTCCTCATCCTTCCACCTCCACCTTCTGCTTCTTTTGGTTTTGTGACAGCGGGCAGGCAACGTGGCCTCCATGGCACTGCTTCGCCGGGGAGGCATTGTGCCACACGCGGGCTGTCATCGTTGACGCTGGGCCTCGCACTTACAATATATTTAAATGACAATAATAATAATAACACACTGGAATATAGTCTTGTACTGCACTCGCCGTACAAGTAGACTGACACACACTGCAGTCAAAACTAATTGTGTAGTCTAACATTTAGACTATCAGCAGTATTTTGGTGACGACACTCGATAGTATAAATCAAGCAAAATGGTGTTATTGTCCTCAAAACTTTTAGCCAAAAGACATAATTGCCTAAGTCGTGTTTTCGGAAAACAATGGGGAATGCCATTTTAGCAAGTTCATTGCTGTATTTTGATTGGGTTTGCATGTAACAGTGAATTAAAAATGACGTCTGCGGTTTTGCTTTGAGGCTCGAGATAGTACAACTTAATGCTCGTAAAATGGTATAATTATCTCAAAACTCGACAACTTGTCATATCAGTTAGCTTAATACCGTGTTTCTCCATGTTCTTGTTAAGCCGCCCCAACTCTCAGCCGTGACTATAAATCGTATCATTTAACTATAACTGGGTTATTAGTACACCTCTGCATAACAGGCTGTCCTTATTAACTTGAAAGAAAACAAAAAGGAAAAATATAGATCAACTTACAACAACAAAAATCAACTTTATTAATCATGTTTTTTTTAATCAGAAAAGATTAGACCGTATCAAAATAAAACAAAAATGTGCCACTGCCACCCACTGTAGTGCATGTGTAATTACACATTATTTCAGTACAGAAAAAAATGCCTTTTCCCAGAGACACATGACGCCGCCCCCAACCTAGGTGTGCCTCAATAGCATAATTGTCGTATTTGAATGATTTCGTAAAACAAGGCAAAAGAAACTTTTATTTTGCCATTTTCTGAGCGACTTAGGCAATAATGCTACAAGGCTAACAATATTACAATTTCATTCTTTTTTTTTTCCTCAAAACTCTACAACTTTGTCATTTAATTACCATAATAGTATAGTTGCCTATGTCGTTTCTGAACAATTTTGTTGTGCTATGAGGCTGACAATATTACAATGTTATCCTCATACTGTTATCGCAATTTCTCCAAATATTTTTCCCTCTTATAACTGAAAATGTCACGCTAAATTATTCATTGGGGACGTCGCAGGGTACCATGTCTTTATTGACGTATAATTGTCTCACACCTCACTATTTTGTCATTCATACCATCAGCCTAATAGCATCATTGTTATTGGAGCGTTTTGGGAAAACAAGAAAAAAATACTTTCAGCAAGCACATTAGTACTTTTTCTTTATCGATATAAAAGTCAGTTAAAAATACCGCTTTTATTCTTATAAAAGTATGACTTTATTCCTGAAATATATTTTATTCTAATAAAACACTGCACAGACTTTATTCCTCATGAAACTTACGGCGATGACCTAATTTTTTTGGGTGACTTTTTTATGTTACACTGTGAGGACTTTTTTTTTTTTCTTCTCCGATTACGACTTTTTTCAAAATGTTCTTGGCTCTCTCACAAGTATTCCGACTGACTATGAATACATAGCCATGTTATCTACTGTTGTAATTACTCCTGTCCTATGAGTGGGCCACTGAGTTAGGAAGTGGAGCTCATTACCTAGATTTGTCCAAAAATATTTCCCAATTTGTTTTAATCAGAGATGTAAGTATACTTTTCTCTGGCACATCTGGTTTTCATAATAATAATCTTAATACTAATATATTAATATATGTCATAATATTTCAGATTTAAGTGTGAGGGTTGGCAACAGGTGTCAGCTATAAATATATCTTGATATATAAAAATATATAATTATAGTATTGCGCGATCTATTATCGGTCAAACTGGAAAAACCAAAAAATGAAAGCGCCTCATAAAACTCTTATGACGGAAAAAAACAAAATTCATGAAATCAGCGTCAAAAACACACAAAACCATTTCTAATTATAATTTGCTACAAACCATTAATAGTCGCGCTCACACTCGCTTGTCATCTCCGCATACATGAGCATCACGTGTTATGTATTACATCAATTTCACATCTCACATTTTAACTCAATTTACATCGCTTGTTTGGAAAAAGGAATTGTATTGTTTTGATGGCTGTAAATGTGTTGCACCGCGCCCGCCCTCGCCCAATACAAAACAATCATGTGGTCCCAACTAAATGCCATAGGAATTAGTGGAAGAAAATGAATGTCAGGAGAACAAAGTCATATTTCACGCTGGTCTGTGAAATTGCTGATTTTTTTTTTTTCGGTGGCCGCGTTCTTTTGTGGGTGAACCGGCGATGGGAACAGGAAGTGGCTTTTATGTCTCGGACAGGAAGCCACTTTATTGTTGCTCCTTGGGCTGGGCCCGTGCGGGGGCTGTGATAATGAATCGTCTTCTCGCTCTTAGCACTTAGCATCACCGTTGTTGATATGAATGGAGTTGTGGTGCACTAAGGATGGAGCAAAAAAAAAAAAAAAGAAAAGTTAAAGAGATATCTAGCTAGCTAGCTAATGGCGTCATACTCTCTCAAACTGAGCCGTACCATAACGAATCATAATCCCACTGAATCAAACCAAATCAAATCGTTCCACTTTAAAATCTAACCATTGTCGAATCTTATCGCATCCCATGTATCAAAATACATCTTTTATTGGAGAGAGACACAGCCCTATCGTAAGTCCTTCTGTTACTTACTTTGCTTTCTTCGAAGCAGCAGCAATTATGTTGACGGGTCAACTTGACCTGAGGCTGTTTAATGATTCAGTCACAGTCCATGTTTTAACGATTTGAATGTTGTTTGGAGAGATA